AAGATGCCACAGACGAATTCTGCGTCAACGACAACTTCCAGTCAAAGCTGACCCGCGTAAAAGTTCAATTAGTGACATTCAAAGGGGAAAGCGAGCCAGAGAAAAAGGAGACAAGAACAAAAGTAGTTTTATCTCCATTTTCTTTTATATTTAGTCATGTGAAATTCCATGCAATTTTTTTTCAGGTGGAGGACGACAGAAAACATGAAATTGAAGCTGCAATCGTTCGCGTCATGAAGTCAAGGAAAGTGCTTGGTCATAATAACCTCATCACAGAGGTAAGCTGCGATTTACGACACGAAGTTAAAAGTCACAGTGTCATCTACTTTTTTAGGTGACTCAGCAGCTCAAGCATCGATTCTTACCAAATCCTATCTTAATCAAGAAGAGGATAGAGTCTTTGATGGAAAGGGATTATCTGGCGCGGGATGCTCACGATCTCAAGCTTTACAACTATGTCGCATGATCTATTTGAATTGCATGCTTGTGAACCTTCAGTATAAGAACTTGTACATTGTATAGATCATAAATATTTACAACATACTACTTCCTGAAAATCCAGCATATGCGAAAGTACAGTTTCCATGCATTTGAGCTCATGATTAGCGTAATAGAAGGGTTGGAATGTCAAATAAGCTGGGGTCTTTTATTCCAGGTTCAAACTAGAACAGAAAATTTTGGCTAGCTATTGTATACCATTTGAAAGAAGGAGTTTTCCTCTATAAGATAATTTACTTAGCTTATCTAGTGATTTCAATGGTGCTAACTTAGGAAAGTTTAAAGCGGAATGTATGGCACAAAACATTCAAGCAACAGCTTAATCTTCTACAAGGCTACCTCATGAGGTAATTCCCTTAACTAATTAGGAAAATCTCTGACACGATTAGACCTCACTGTCGAATTAAAGTAGGAATACGCTAAAGAACTAAGTTGTAAATTTGTTTAGAAAGTGGTTTAGTGAGATTGTCGACATGTCGATTACGAAAATCACACCACATCGTATATG